TTGGTCGTAAGGATGAAGATTACTTCATCAACGCTAACTAATATATTTATAAATCATCTTCAGGGCTTCGTATGGTTACATTAGAAAAAAACAAAACAAAAAACAACAACGTTGGCATTGACGAAATAATCTTCGTCCCTACTACCAAAAAACCTGACCGGAAGTCCCATCCTCACAACTTGTCATTTTTTTCTGAGAAATGATATAATTTGGGTTTGAAACGGTTAAAATGGCATAAAAACATGCGAATGTTAAACATATATAGACGAATAGGCGAAACTTGATTTATTCACTCTCCTGTCTCTTTCCATTGTTACATGATGATTCTAGCTCAGAAGAATTGTTGCCGTTTAGTCACCGTTTGTCCCAATTTCTCGTCTAGAGCAAGGCAGACTTTATTCCCTTTATCGAAACAGTTTTTTCTAGATTCGCTCGTCGAACTAAAAACTATTTTCTTTTTTTCCCCGCATGCCTGTGAACGTTTTAACGTAAGATTATTTTGTACTGTTTGAATGAAGGCTATTTATTAAGTGCCCCACACCGGAGTGACCTAAGGGAAAATGAAATTACAGCCGCCCAAGCTATGAGCATTTACAGACACTTAGGGTTATCCACGCAGCTTGTGCTAATCGTGTTAAGTGTGTTAAATCCGAGAAATTATGTGACGCTAGTGAGCTACGTAATACGAAACTAATAGCACAGTCGTCACTAAGGGTCTACACTATTAGGCTATTTCAAAAGGATTTTAAGTTTTCAAAATTCAATTTCAGCTTGTAATCTGTACAACGGTATCACTTACATTGTCCTTCAAGAAGTATGATAGTCCATTGAAAAAAACGTGTTTTATCGTTTTGAATGGAGGAAAAATGGAAAAAAGATGTAGTGAAGTAGCAAAGTGAGTTCGAACTGCTATCTCTCGGATCGTCAAAGGACACTCGATCAAGTTCCAATGTTTCCTTTGAAATTTTCTGTTCAACCACATATGTTCCTATATCCCCCCCCCTTGGTATGTATGACACAAAAAGGCGACCTGTGCCGACTAAGGCAATAAAAGTGTAAGTTCATACCAGGCACTCAGTGAGTAATTAGAAGTACTTCGTCATCCGGGGTTTGACAGCATAGAAATTTAAATACTAAACTACCAATGATACTTGAGTAGAATACAGAAACAGCAGAACAAATAATAACCAAAAATATAAAAAATAAGTACTCAGGAGGGCTCATCACTGTGAGTGATCATCACTTCTTCCACTCCTTCAAAATCTAGCATATTAAAAAAAAAATAATTTAAACAAGAAACACAACAGTGACACATCTACACAGAAAACGAGCGAATACAAATATTTTGAATAAAAATAAAAAAATTAAATTGTATACATAATTGTATAAATTCATTTTCACATCTTACATGTATTTGTATAACTTAAACAATGTTTATAAATCCCAGATCTTGAATATCAATGATGATCGAAACGTTAGCATGATTTTTCTAAATCCACATCGCATCGGATCGCATCTCACGATCCGTAAATAATGAACTGTGAGTTAAAGGGCCCGAGTTCGAATCCAGCGGCCCTGCATTCGAATAATAATTATGTTTCGTTTAATAGTAATTATCTAATTGTTTGTTTATTTGTTTTGTATGGTTGGATTTTTTCCTTTGAACCTTCGAGTTGGGCTTCGGTGGTCGCAACGGCGTTGACACGGCGCTCATCCCCGTAAGGTAAAGGTCCCGAGTTCGAATCCAGCGGCCGGATTCGAACCCGACATACTTACAAATGGACTTTTTTTTTTCAAAAACACCGGCAGGTTGATATAACCTCTGCTCTTGCGAACCTTCGTACAAAAAAATTCTAATTGCAATGTGAATATGATTATAATAATTAATCATATTTTGTTTCTTATATTTGTAAGCAATTACGTGAAATGGCTAAAAAGGTACTCGCTTTGGCGTACATACACTAAAATTGGCAAGCATACTTCTACGCAAGGATAACCCGCAAAACCTTGAAGCGTTCCACAAGAAACTAAAAAGATTCATGTTTTAGTCAAATAAAAAAAAAGGTTTTTTAAAGCGCTCATTATAGAACCCTTGAATTAAACTGCAAACGTCAATATAAGGACAAGTAGAACATATCGGTGAACTAATATGCAAACAGAGAAAACGAACTTGATTTAATATCCTTTTTAGTGGTTCAATTGTTTTTTAAATCACTTTTTGCAAAGATGAAGAAATTAATGAAGGGAAAGAAAAAACCAGTGATTGGAGGATTGGTACGGTGGAAAGATTAACAATAATAAAAAATAATAAACTTAAGGAAATTTTGAGTAAATTTATTAAACGTTTTTTAATTTCCACTCTCCGCATTGTATTTTCGACGCACTGCCATTGCATTAATAATAATTCACTAGTTTTCGTGGTCCGCTTGACCAATTAATTATCTCTCCCATCGCAAAAATGGCAAAAAGGAGGGAAAATTCAAAAGGTGGGGTTGAGATGGGAAGTTAGTGTCCGAGTGGATCGAAGTCACGATAGCTCAAGTGGTAGAGCAGCGGCGTATCTAGCTGAAGATCGTGGGTTCGAATCCCCCTCGTGGGACTGACTTTTTTATCTCAACTAAAAACCTTAATTAATTGAAAAATAATAATAAATCTATTTGCGAAAAGTACAGTACTACAGTAAGATAAAACATAAATAGAGAAAAAATTTAAGGATAAAATAATAACACCATAAGTAAAAGTAAGTCATTTAACCAATCTGCACATTTTCGCCTGTCACCTAAAAGCAGTGCTTGTAACAGATGGCAGGAGTTATGTCAGTTAACAAAATTGCTAAAAATTAAATCAAAAGGACTGAGAAGGTATATAAGACCATAAGAGAGAAAACAAAACTAAAACAAAATTGAAATAAAGATTTGGCAGTCAATTAAACCCGCAAAACCCGTACATACGATGTATATCACCGTATTTTGGGTCGTAGGTTTTTTTTTTTTTTTTAATTTTTCCCCAGCAGTGTATATTTAAAACTACCAATGAAAACAAAGTTGCCAATAAATTGCGTGGTGAATAGTGGTATTGTTCTGGGGTCACTGTGCATACAATTGTATTTGTTTCTTAAAATAAAATAAAAAGGAAGAAAAAAGTACATATTTTTAACTAGAAAAAGTAGCCACAGTGTTAACAAAAAACGTTTTGAATGGTAAAACTTTTTTTCCTTTTTTTTTTTTTTTTAAAGAGGGTTCGCAAGAGCAGAGGTTATATCAACCCTCGAAGTGCCGGTGTTTTTGAAAAAGCCCATTTGTAAGTATGTTGGGTTCGAATGCAGGGCCGCTGGATTCGAACCCGGGACCTTTACCTTACAGTGATGGGCGCCGTGTCAACGCCTAAACCGTTGCGGCCACCGACGCCCCCTAAGGTAAAACTCTATTATTTCGGAGAATAAAAATACAATAATTACTTAATCAAAGTTGCAGTCGTGTTGGTAAATAAGTAAACACTTGCACTATTTCCTTTTTGAACCCAAATTTAATAAAAAACTTTAATAAATTCATTCAAAATTTCTTTAAGTTTTTATTTTTTATTTTCCATCTTACCAAGCCGACTACCACGGTTTTTTCCTTTCCTCCAACCATTGCTTCATCTTTGAAAAAAGTAATTAATAAAGAAATTACACCAATAAAGAGGATATTATATGGAGTAAGTTTTTTGAAATTTTATGGTCTCTAGGTTTCGAAATAATAGTTTAGAATCAACGTAGTAAGTTTTTCCACTTTGAAAAATAAAAAAAAATTCTCGAAAATTTTCACGAACGTTTACAAGTATAGATTGATTATATCCTCTTGGAAATTTAACGTAACTTTTAATGGTACCGACAGATTTGTCAAAACCTTTTAGTTTTGGAGTTTTCATTGTTTGTTTGAAGCAAGGTCGTGAAATCTTGAAAAATAAAAAAAGTGAAATAACTCCGAAACTGTTGAGATTAGGATCATATTTAATTAGGACTTTTTGGTTCCATTTTGAATGTGGAATCTACGGTAAAGTCTGTAACAGGAGTAGCCGAACATCCTGTACAAATATTTATTTAGAAATCGTGAGATGCGGTCTGGTGTGATGGTTTCAGAAAAACATTTTCTTTGTCGTGCCAACGTTTCGATCTTTATTGAGATCATCTTCAGGGCTCAAAGTGTTTGTCTTCTGTGTAATTGTGTCAGTGCCCACTCTCGACACGACACGATAGAATGACACAATTACACAGAAGACAAACACTTTGAGCCCTGAAGATGATCTTAATAAAGATCGAAACGTTGGCACGATAAAGAAAATGTTTTTCTGAAACCATCACACCAGACCGCATCTCACGATTTCTAAATAAATATCGATTAACGGTCACTAATCACCACACAATCCTGTACAAAATTTATGATTGAGACAGGTTAAAATTTTTTTTTTTTCAAAATATTAAACCGTTTGTTCGGAGTCTGAAAGACTTAAATATGTACCACACTGGCTCTTTTTTAAAATAAACTGTTACAAAATATTAATGACTGACGACCAGTGTTTTAACCACTGCGTTAACTCAGCTGAGGAAAGATTAAAATAAATCCGAAACGTTGTGGGTTGAAAGAAAAACTGGTTGTTGGTTTTTTGAGATGACCTATTATCCCACCTTCGAGAAGGAAAAATCATAAGTTAAACTGTTGACGTCGAAATTTATGATTAAGGTTAATTTGTGAAAGGAAGACGTGAAGAATCCTTTTCGGTTTGACTTGTTTTGCACTAATTAAAATAATTTAAAATTTGTGTGTTCTGGTATGAATTTAACGTTAGGTCTTCAAGTTCCAAAACGGTCCCAAACCCAAATTGTAGCCACCAGCCGGGAAGACGGGATCGGTTTTGGGGAGTCGAGAAAAGAAAACCCCTCCCAGGCCTACCGAGTCGAACCGAGGAGAAACGGGCCGGCCCGAACGTTTCTTCGGCGATTGTGGTCTATTGGAGAGCCGCGGTTAGCAATCAGTCAAGTTTCAGCATTCGTGTTCTTCACCCCCCAGGCGGCCCAAAGTCCCGGTCAACACGTGCTGATGCGGTCCTCGCGGATCGGCGCCCTTCTGGGCACTGTGACAATAGCCCTTATTCTACTCACCGTCGTCTTCCTCACGTCAATTTTCCTCGGCAGGCAAGAAATCTTGCACGACAGCAATGGAACAAGTTAGTTTTGAATATTTTTTTTTTTTAAAGAAAAATTCTGCAACTTTTGTCATCGTTCTTAATGCTAGAACATAGCGACAATATCGAATATTTTTAGCAAAACACCTAAAAAAATTTGACATTAAATTTATTTTTTTAAAAATTATCTAAGTGAAAATCCTGTTCTTTTTCCCATATAAGGATAACGTTTTCTTAAAAGTATTTCAATCAGACTTTTGCTAGGTCTTAGAATTTAAATTCAGCCGGCAAAGTGTAGGGAACCTCCACATGCTAAATATAATCCGCGTGCCAAGCCGGGGTGTTTAAACTTTGCTACTCGATCCTCCAATAAACATTTATTTGAGAACCGCACCTTAAAAAAACAACTCTTCCACATCGGAACGACGATATAATAAAATCGATTCAATTTTCCAAAACCCGAAAAAAATGTATTTTTTTTCCAAACCCGATTTCACGCGGGGTAAAAACGTGTCGAACGAAACGCACGTATTAACCGAGCACCTGTGGTACATTTCGACAAAGGGCGTTAACACGCTCACAAAAAATATAATTTTCTTCCTAGAGACTACACCGAAGGACCTTATGTCAAGCACGCTTCCTTACTCATTAAGGATTCTTCATACCGGTTTCAGCATTGCCTTTTAAAGATCAGAAAACTTGACGCCATAAAATACGACCAATGTCTATTTTTGACTGTTAAATCTAAAACATAGCCAAGGAACAAAGAAAAAAAAATTTAAAACATAGGAAAAACTCCTGTTCTTTTGAATCAAATTGATTAAAACCAGAAACTATTTTTTATGGGTAATTATGACATAAAAATTTACAAAAATTAGTCCCAATAATTTACCAGAGTTTTTAATATAAAACCATGTCGTTAACCTGTTTGTGATAATTAGATTCGAAGTACTGCTTTTTTCTCAATTTATACTGTAATATTTTCAACTGCTATTAAATAATCTTTAAACTTAAATATTTACAATTTGAGTTGGTGTGTAGTAATAAAAAAAGAAAATTTTTAAATAATATCAGTTTTGTAAATTTATGTTTGTTATGCTCGCTCGCATCAGACGAGAATTACTCTCTTTCTATTAAAACACCAAAATTTAGATAAAATAAACCATAAATGGTTTGAATATCGATAAATTTGTTTAATAGTCAGCGGTTGACTAATTCAGACGTCAATGACAGTTCGACACCCTAGCTGATTTCACTTTTTATATGGTTTGAATCTAATTATTCGCGATTTAGTTCAAAAATTTACTTTCGGCGTGTGTGAGTGGGCAGAAGGCGATCATTCGGCTTTTACAAGTGGTTGATCACCTTTCTACGCCTACGTAAAACAAGCCGTGTTTGGTTGACATCAATGACAACGGTTTTTGAAAACGTCACAAAAACATCGGCTCGTTTTCCGCGAAAATTCAGAATAAATACAAAACTTTTAAATAAAAATAGTATTAACTATAATAAAAGTGTTTTTTTTGTTTCTCTCCTTACAATGCATTCTTTATTCAGCTTTATTTATTTTATTTACAAACAGTTGTTATCAAATAATAATAAGTAATGTCAGAAAATAGAGTACGAAGAAATATTTTACGTTAATCTCTTATGTCGATACTTTGACATTAAAATTTTTAATGATCATTATGATTGAATCAAAACAATACTAGATTGTTGATATTGAACGTACTGATACACTGATATAATGAGAAAATATAAACAATTACAAATTGAATGAAAATGATACTTTCGTAGGTACAAATTAACAAATAAATTTATTATATATAATTTTTATACTTTACATATAGGGTAGAAAATAGTACATATTGGACGGTAAATATTTAAAATATTATATATATTTATTGATACAGTTTATATGACAAGACATGAAATGAGTAAATTTTGAAATAAAATGAATATTTATCCATAATAAGATGAAACGGATCACTTTTAATGGTTGAACATTTGAAATAAAATTAGTATTTATGTTCTTAACAAATTATCACATTTCACACTAAAAATAAGTAAATTTTTCAGAATTAAAATTTGAAATAGAAACAATATTTTTACGGTTTACAAATCATCGCATGAAATTAATCAATATGAAATAAAATTAGTATTGACGATTTTTATTCATCATTAGTTGAAATAAGTAAATTTTGCGGTTCGAAAAATTGAAAAAAATACACTACTTTTGTATTTTACAAATTATTACACGAAATGAAAAAAATTGTCAGGTAGGATTTGCACTAAAATTAGTTCAGTTGTAGTTTACAAATCAACATATGAAATGTGTAAATTTTGCTTTTCACAAAATAAAATGTTTACTTTTTCCATTACAAATGATAACGTGGAAGGGTAAATTTTGCGGGTTGAACGTGGAAAAAAAATTACTTTTGCGTTTACTCATCATGAGGTGAAATCAGTAAATTTTGGTGGTTAAAAATTGGACAGATCACCACACGAAATGTGCGGGTTAAAATTTTGAATTAACGTTAGTGTTTTTATGGTTTATACGTGATCAAATGGAATGTTTAAATTTAGAGGGTAAACAATTTAAATAACCGTGAAATGAAATAAATACATTTTTCGGGTTAAAAAGTCCCAAAATTATCACATAAAATTAGTAAATTATGTGAGTTAAAAAATTGAAATAAAATTATCTTTTTTATGGGTTACACAGAAATTAGTAAATTACGCGGGTCAACTATTTTAAAAATCCTCGCCTAAAATGGGTAAATTTTGCGTGTAAAAAGTTTCATGTACTTAAAATACAGTTTTGTTAAGTTTACACATTATTCAATAAAATGCGTAAATTTTGCTGGTTATAAATTTTAAAAATCGTCACAACAAATGATTAATTTGTTCGAGTTAAAAAATGAAATTTTTTACTTTTGTTTTTTTCAATTCATCACATGAAATGCCTTAATTTGGTAAGTTAAAAATTTGACAAATCATCACGTGCGATGAGTACATATTCGCTCTGGCCATTTGAAGGATATAAGGCCATTTAAAAAAAGTTATAAATATATTTCGACTGTGGAAATAAATAAAAATCTTCACATGAAAAGGTTAAATTTTCCGGGGGGAAATTTGAAATAAAATTATTAGTTTTTGTCTTTTATATAATCAAATAAATTGAGTTAATTTTGCGGGTTGACATTTTTAAAAATTATTAAATGAAGTGAGTAAATTTTTTATGTTAAATATTTCAAGTAAAGTTAATATTTTTATGGTTTACACATCAACAGATAAAATTAGAAATATTTTCTCTTGAAAGATTCGACAAAATCATTACGTGAAATATGTAAATTATATGAGTTACAAAATTTAAATAAAACCAGTACTTTTGATGTTTAGAAATCGTGGCATGAAAGAAACAGTGTACTTCGGCAAATTTAGATTTTTGAATGGCCTTTGCTGAAGGGCCATTATTTTTAAATACAAGACTGTAATATAATTGTTCTTTGATAAAATTATATTATCTTAAAAAAAATATTTTTGCTGGTAAAATTTTGAAATAAAATTATTGAGCAGAGTAAATTATGCGGGTAAATATTTCGAAAAAAATATTGATCTACATATGTTCAGAGGAAATTAGTAAATTTATTGGATTAAAAATTTAAAAAGTTAAAATTAATACTTTTGTAATTTTAAATTCGTCATATAAAATTAAACAGTTAACTCATTTCAAGTCATGAGACGAAATGAGTAAATTTAGTTGGCAAAAATATAAATTAAAGAATAAAATTTTTTGTTGTCACACATCTTCAGAGTAAATTAGTAAATTTTTTGGGTTAAAGATTTAAAAAGTTAAAATTAATACGTTTGTAATTTTAAACTCGTCATATAAAATTAAACAGAAATCATAAGATGAAATAAGTAAATTTAGGTGGCAAAAATGTAAATTAAAAAAAAAAATTTTTTTGTTTACACATCTTCAGAGGAAATAAGTAATTTTTTTGGGTTAAAGATTTAAAAAGTTAAAATTAATACTTTTGTAATTTTAAATTCGTCATATAAAATTAAACATTTACCTCATTTCAAATCATGAGATGAAATGAGTAAATTTAGTTGGAAAAAATGTAAATTAAAGAAAAAATATTTTTTGTTGTCACATCCTCAGAGGAAATTAATATATTTTTTGGGTTAAAGATTTAAAAAGATAAAATTACTTCTTTAGTAATTTTAAATTCGTCATATAAAATTAAACAGTTAACTGATTTCAAATCATGAGATGAAATGAGTAAATTTAGTTGGCAAAAATGTAAATTAAAGAGAAAAATATTTTTTGTTGTCACACATTTTCAGAGGAAATTAGTAAATTTTTTGGGTTAAAGATTTAAAAAGTTAAAATTAATACGTTTGTAATTTTAAACTCGTCATATAAAATTAAACAGAAATCATGAGATGAAATGAGTAAATTTAATTGTCAAAAATGTAAATTAAAGAAAAAATATTTTTTGTTGTCACACATCTTCAGAGGAAATTAGTAAATTTTTTAGGTTAAAGATTTAAAAAGTTAAAATTAATACTTTTGTAATTTTAAATTCGTCATATAAAATTAAACAGTTAACTTATTTCAAATCATGAGATGAAATGAGTAAATTTAGTTGGCAAAAATGTAAATTAAAAAAAAAAAATTTTTGTTTACACATCTTCAGAGGAAATTAGTAATTTTTTTGGGTTAAAGATTTAAGAAGTTAAAATTAATACTTTTGTAATTTTAAATTCGTCATATAAAATTAAACATTTACCTCATTTCAAATCATGAGATGAAATGAGTAAATTTAGTTGGAAAAAATGTAAATTAAAGAAAAAATATTTTTTGTTGTCATATCTTCAGAGGAAATTAGTAAATTTTTTGGGTTAAAGATTTAAAAAGTTAAAATTTGTACTTTTGTAATTTTAATTTCGTCATATAAAATTAAACAGTTAACTGATTTCAAATCATGAGATGAAATGGGTAAATTTAGTTGGCAAAAATGTAAATTAAAGAA